AGTGAACAGTCAGTAAACAGTCAGTGAACACTCAGTGAACAGTCAGTGAACAGTCAGTGAACAGTCAGTGAACAGTCAGTAAACATCCATCCTTCCATCCATCCATCCATCCATCCATCCATCCATTTTCTTTACCCGCTTACTCCATTTTGGGTCACGGGGTCACTGGTGCCCATGTCCAGCAATCACTGTGCGAGGGGCGGGGTACACCCTGGACGGGTCGCAAGTCCATCACAGGGCCACATAGAGACAAACGAGACAAACAACCATTCACTCTCTCACTCACACCTATGGACAATTTAGAGTTACCAATCAGCCTAACATGCATGTTTTTGGACTGTGGGAGGAAACCGGAGTACCCGGAGAAAACCCACACATGCACGGAGAGAACATGCAAACTCCACCCAGAAAGGCCCCTGGATCGGGGTTTGAACCAGGGACCTGCTCGCTGAGAGGCAGCAGCTCTACCAGTTGCACCACCGTGCTGCCCAGTCAGTAAACAGTCAGTGAATAATCAGTGAACACTCAGTGAACAGTCAGTAAACAGTCAGTGAACAGTCAGTAAACTGTCAGTGAACAGTCAGTGAACAGTCATTGAACAGTCAGTAAACAGTCAGTGAACAGTCAGTAAACAGTCAGTGAACAGTAAACAGTCAGTGAACAGTCAGTGAACAGTCAGTAAACATTCAGTGAACAGTCGGTAAACATTCAGTGAACACAGTGAACAGTCAGTAAACAGTGAACAGTCAGTAAACAGTCAGTGAACAGTCAGTAAACACTCAGTGAACACTCAGTGAACAGTCAGTAAACTGTCAGTGAACAGTCAGTGAACAGTCAGTACACATTCAGTGAACAGTCAGTGAACAGTCAGTAAACAGTGAACAGTCAGTGAATAGTCAGTGAACAGTCAGTAAACAGTCAGTGAACACTCAGTGAACAGTCAGTGAACAGTCAGTAACAGTAAACAGTCAGTGAACAGTCAGTGAATAATCAGTGAACAGTCAGTAAACAGTCAATAAACAGTCAGTGAACAGTCA